GGGGGGGGGGGGGGGAGCAGCAAAAGAGACAGGGTTCCCCCTTTTATTTATATAATTAATATTTGTTGTACTATTCATTTATTTATATTTATTTATTTATATTTATTTATTTATTTATATTTATTTATTTATATTTATTTATTTATTTATTTATATATTTCCTTACCATCCTCCATTAAGCCAATAGATTCCCTTAATACCTGGATGCATTTCTCTTGCCTTTGCTGCTAGGCTCCTGTCTCTATCTGCAACAATGCTGCTGCTGCTGCTGCTGTTGCTGCTGCTGTTGCTGCTGCTGCTGCTGCTGTTGTTGCTGCTGTTGTAGCGCTGTCCGCGGGTTGCTACTGCTGCTGCTGCTGCTGCTGCTGCAGCAGAAACAGTGCTAGGGGCACCTTCACAGGGGCCTCCCCTTCTCTTCCTTTTGTTAGGGAGGGGCCCCTGGTCCCCTCTTATCCTTGTTGTTAATTGGGTAGGGGGCCCCCCCATGTTATCCCCTCTTTCTTCTCTTGCTTCTTCTTGCTGCAGCCTAGTACTGTTAAGGGCACCACGAGGGGGCCCCCCTGCAGCAGCAGTGTTCGCTAGGGGGGGGCCCCCCTTCACAGACTCCCACAGGGGGCCCGCAGGACTGCTGCATTCAGAGGAGATAGAAGACAATGCCATTGAGCTGCTGCTGCTGTCGCTCACAGTACCTCGTGGGGGGCCCCCATCAATCAAGGGGGCCCCTTGTGGGCCCCCATCCTGCAGGGGGGCCCCGAGGGGGCCCCCTTGAGGGACGGTAGTACCCCCTTGTGCTGCTATTCCTTGATACATGAGGGGACCTGGAAACAGGAAACCAGTGCTGCTGCTGCTGTAGCTGCTGCTGCTGCTAATAGGAGCAGCAGCAACAGCAGCAGCAGCAGCAGCAGCAGGATAGAGCGGCTCTTGTATACGGGGCCCTTGTGGCACCTGAGAACAAACCATAAAAGGAACAAAGCCGTTGGCAGCAGCAGCAACAGCAGCAACAGCAGCAGCAGCAGCAGCTACTGCTGCTGCTGCTGAAGGATTGGTTATAGCAAAAGAAGCAGCAGCAGCATTAACAGCAACAACAGCAGCAGCAGCAACAGCATCACGGACCCCTGCATAGGTATCCAGTCCTTCCCTGCCTATATCTTGTGAGTGTGCCCAGGCAGGAGCAGCAACAGGAGCAGAAGCAGGAGGAGCAGCAGGAGCAGCAGCAGCAGCAGCAGCAGGCGGGGGCCCCTCCCTAATATTATCATTATTAATAAGGAGACAGGAGATAGTATTAAGGGCCCTCTCTTCCTTATGCAGCTGCTGCAGCACTTGGAGACACCAACGCAGCATATACTTAATTGTATCCAGCTGCTGCTGCTGCTGCTGCTTCTGCTGCTGCTGCTCCTCCTCCTGCTGCTGTTGGGTACTGTTAGATGGCAGCAAGCCTAGGGCCCCTCGTAGGGCCCCCGCTACCTCCCCTGCTGTAATCCCTTTAGGTCTTATGTTGGAATATTCTTCCTGCAGCAGCAGCAGGGGGCCCCTGCTGCTGCTGCTGCTGTTGCTGCTGCTGCAGGAACGTCTCTTTCCCAGGGAGGCCCCGAGGGTACTACGATTTGTTTTAAGGACACCGGTCTCCTTACTTTGTGCTGCTGCTGCTGCTGCTGCTGCTGCTGCTGCTGCTGCTGCTCCTGA